CTGTATTGTGGTTACCAGGAACAATGGGGGTAGGGGGTGGGCACAAGGGGTGAAGGGAGACATGTATATGGTGATGGGCAAACAAAAATGTACAAGCAAAATTTCACAATGTTATAAACTATTAAGACATCAATAAAAATAAATTAAAAAGAAAAAAAAGAGACTTAAGAGGCCGAATGCAATGTGTGGACCTAAAAGAATCTTTATATTTTTGAGATACATACTAAAATTTCTGCAGATGAAATAGTAATGTCTGGGATTTACTTCCAAACAGTCCAATGACAGTAGAATAGCTGCTGGTGTAGGGAGGCGGGCAATAGATGAAACTAGATCAGCCATGAGTTAATAGTTGCTGAAGCTGGGAGATGGCTACATGGAGATTCACTATGTTACTCTTTCTACTTTTATGTGTGTTTGAGTTTTCCATAATAAAATCTTTTTGAGAACTAATACATGTAAAGCCCTTAAAAGAGTTTTTGGCACATAAAAAGTATTCATTAAAAAGTTTATTATTGGGGCCGGCCCCATGACTTAGCGGTTAAGTGCGTGTGCTCCGCTACTGGCGGCCTGGGTTTGGACCCCAGGGGCGCACCGACGCACTGCTTGTCCGGCCATGCTGAGGCAGTGTCCCACATACAGCAACTAGCAGGATGTGCACCTACGACATACAACTGTCTACTGGGGCTTTGGGGAGAAAAGGGGGAAGACAAAAGGAGGAAGACTGGCAATAGATGTTAGCTCAGGGCCAGTCTTCCTCAGCAAAAAGAGGAGGATTGGCATGGATGTTAGCTCAGGGCTGATCTTCCTCACAAAAAAAAAACAAAGTTTATTATTATCATTATTATTTTTAGACCACTTCTGACTACATATTTAGGTGAAGAGTCTCAAGTCATTTTCTCAATTTTTCCATGTCATAGAATTGTCACAACAAATATATAATGCCTAACATTTTTTTCAGGAAAGTAAACAGTGGTCCATTTATTTTCTGTTTCTAGTATCTTTTTTTTTTTCCTAGTCTAGACAAAAGTCCTGTTGTTGATCAAGAACTAATGGAAGACAAAACCAGCAGGTTTACCTGCAAAGGAAAATCAATTTACCATTTCATGGGGATCAGTGCTTTCTCTCAGTACACTGTAGTGTCAGATAAAAATCTTGCCAAAATCGATGATGATGCAAATTTAGAAAGAGTTTGTCTGCTTGGATGTGGGTTTTCAACTGGCTATGGAGCTGCACTCAACAACGCCAAGGTAAAATGCTTAATCACTATGCTGTGGAGAAGAGAAGTTACTAGGAGGCAGTGTGATAAAACAGAGAAGAGTTATCTTCAAACCCCGGCTCTGTCATTTATTACCACTGTAATTTTAGGCAAGTTATTTAACCTCTCTACTCCTACCTCTTTATGATAATATCCACTACAAATAGTTGTGGGGATCATTAAATCATACGTAAGACATCTGGCCCAGTGGCTGGCACCCAGTTCAGGTTAATTTCTTTTCCTACACTAGATTATAGTATAGTTATACTATACTATAATACTATTATACTATATACTATTATACTATAATCTAATTATAGGACAGTTAGATTATAGACCATCCCTGATTTAAAAATAGCCTGCTTAAATATGTCCCCTAATTATGAACACTCATCAGGGGTTGCAGACCCAGGCAAGAGACAAGAGAAGCTAGAGTAATTCCCACCCGTCTCCATACAGCCACCCCTCCTTTCTCCCTGAGGCTGCAGATTCCTCTCCCTCAAACTGTACTAATTCATCTCTGCTTCTCATCCTATCCCTTTGCGGCTTCAAAAGAGGGTCTCAGATGGCAGCCCTGATGGGCAAGATGAGTCCCGGGAATCCCATGTTAGCATTATATGCTTTTACAAAGCTGTTTAACTGAGAGGCTAGAGAAATGTCGATACCACTTGGATGCCTCAAACCACCTCCTTATTTAAACTTCCTTGACATTAGTCTTCGTCCTTTGACTCCACACAGCAAAATGCAACCAGAGTGGTCTCTCTAAACAACAAATCTGAAGATTTCACCCCATTTTCATTATTAACCTTCTCTGTCAGTATGCTACAGTATTTGTCACTTCCTGTTGGAAACCTGCTCCAGCCTCGGGCATGCAATCGGTACCCCTCCAGTTTTTCCCAAAGTGTTTATGTTTATCCCTGTCTTCCGTCTTATCACGCTATTGAGAAATTTTCTATTTATTTATCCTTCCTATTAGACTATTTTCTCCTTGAGGGCAAGAACTCTGTCTTGTTCATAATGGTATCTCCAGAGCCTAGCCCTGTGCCTGGCACATAGTAGGAGCTTGACAATTTTTCAGTGAATGAATAAATAAAGCTAGGTTCCTATGCAACCCTTAAGACATCTTGGTGAGGCTTGGTCCTCGATTTTGCAATACAAAAATTCCTTTTTATCAGGTTACCTAGAGATGTTCAATGTCAAGGAAACAAAGTCACCCTAACGAAGATAAGAGGCTCACCTAGTAGCCAGAATATCAAGGTACGACGTTTTTTTGAGAATTACACTGGCCAAGCAGACAGAAATGCTACTCTTGGCCATCAGCATATTATCTCCCTCTAAAAATTCATTTATTCATTCATTCATTCATCAATAAAAATTAAGAAACTGTATTAGAAGCCAAACTACAATCTACAGGCTCCCGGAGGAAGGGTGTTGTTAGTTGGGTGGAGTTAACAGTTGATGTGACCTTGGCAGTCAAGGCACAGTCTCCTCTAGATAGTATTGGAGACTCAGGTAAGAATTATTACTCTTTGGGCCACACATACACCCCTTTTCTGGACTCCATGCAGACTATCATCTTCTACTACTATAATCTTTCTTCAGAGATATTAACACTAAAGATTCAGCTGTAATTTTCTTTTAAATCTAGTCAAAGTTGACCTAAATTCCCAGGACCTGTTCTTCCCACTATGAGGAACAGCTAAAGCCCTTATGAGATGCTCAGAGACGAGAAATGAATCTGACAGGAACAAGTTAGGGGAAGCGAAGTATCAGTAATTCTAGCCAAAAGGCAAGAGCCTTAATATAGACCCTGAGAATCCAGCTACTGTGAACAACATTGCTGCAATGGGCAAATGCATTTCCACTTTCAAGGAGACTTAGAGACAAACTTTTTAACACAGTCTCAGGAGAAGTATGTTTGGAAATATACTAAATATATGCTACGACATTATGGTAAATAGTACATAGTGTATATAGAACAATATTCTGAGTATTTACAAAATATATTTTTTATTTCCCCTGAGCAGCAGAAGCCAGTATATGCATGCCTAATACCATGTATAAATTAAAGTAAGAGGTGTGCATTCTCTCTCTTCCTTAGTAATTTTGCTTCCAATTTAGAATGTATCAATATTTCTCTTGGGCAGATTTTCTCTTTCCCTTTTGTTTATGCTTTAATTCTAACTGTTTCCCATCATCATTAGAAAATATTGATTAAGCATCTCTCTGTGTGTAGTTTTTGCCACTATACCACTCTACAGAATCACATATTCCTGTTACAGCAGCTTTCCTTACTATCTTGTATATTAAGTTTCTACTTAATTCGATGCAATGAACATTTAGTAAAGACCCAACATACAGAAGACTCCTTGATAGCAATGTGGAAGATGAAAAGTCTCTGCCTTAAAGAACTTACACTCTTTTAAAGAACACACACACACAAAATCAAACAATCAAGGAGATTAAAAATTACATGATATAGAGAAAGCAAAAATGGTGGGCACTAATTTCTGATTAAAAAATCAAGAATTAAGTTTCATGGGGAGAGTGACATTTCAGTCAGGCCTAGAAGTATAGGTAATATTTTAATTAAAGGAAACTGGTGAAAATTACACCAGGCTGAGGGAACAGCATGAACTAAGGCACGAGGAAAGGAAAGTGCAACAGTTTGTTGCGGCTGTAGCATCAGGAATACTGTGGAGATGACATTGGAAGGTAACGGGAGCCAAATAATAAAAACCCTCCAATGCCATGCAAAGAAATTTGGACTTCATTCCATTTAAATGAATTGATGATTTGGAATGATGAAGTAAGTTAATTCACGTTTAGAGTAATACTAGTGGACATTCAAAATCAACTACTATATTAACGTAACCAAATAAGGCCTATTAGAAATATAGATATCAAATATCTATTAAATTCTATCTATAAAAAAAGGAAATCAATAAACTCTTTAAAATGTGGAGGCTTTAGAATTTTGTTCTGATAACACTGAAGGGAAAGAGAAAACAAGGGAATGATTTTCATTTGGGTTTGCTCCTTATGAACTGATAATCCTAATGGCCCTCAAACGAGTCTCCAAATTTAGTGACTTAGCCATCCACCTTGGCAGATTTCCCCCAATGGCTATATCATTTAGTTTTATGATAGGCAGTCTTATTTATATGTTCCTGCCCACACCTTGCTCTGTCCCTTAAAAAAAAAAAAAAAAAAGTGCTACTGGCTGCTTTAAAAGTTAATTTATGACTTTCCTGCCTGCAGGTCACCCCTGGTTCTACTTGCGCGATCTTCGGCTTAGGAGGCGTCGGTCTCTCTGCTATAACGGGTTGTAAAGTGGCAGGAGCTTCCAGAATCATAGCTATTGACATCAACAGTGAGAAGTTTACAAAGGCCAAAGCCCTTGGAGCCACTGACTGCCTCAATCCTAGAGACCTAGATAAACCCGTCCAGAAGGTCATCATTGAAATGACCAAAGGAGGAGTGGATTTTGCCCTTGACTGTGCGGGTGGATCTGAAACCATGGTATGTACATTTTTTATAAGAGTATATAATAAATAATATTTACTAACATTAATAAACATTGACAATATGTATATAAATGTATTTTTATGTTATATTTAATAATATATTTATATATGTATATAAATTATATATTTCTATAATAAGCAATATTTAATAACATAGTAGATATTATACATCATATAGTATATTGTAGTTAATCATTTATTAATAAAGATTACTGATTCCTACTTAATATTAATGTTGTTAATATTTCTGCAGTTTTCAGTATGTTAAAAAACATACACACACACTGCAAAATTAAAAAGTCAATCTTTTTTTCCTAAGCACTGCAATTGTATATCACTCAGATTTCTCCTTGTCTCAGGACAGCTGCATAATTTGCAGGGCCCTTCTGAGCATGGCCCTGAGCCACCCCCTGCTTGCTGCCCTCGAAGCAGCCCATCTATTCTACTCCAGACTGCGGGGCAGGTTACTTGCCGGAGTGCCCAGCCTTATACGCCAGCCAATATTCACCTAACGCACATTTGCTCAAAGACACTAAGTAGTGTTTTGTTTTGCTTTTTAATGAAATGACCAAAGAATTCATCGACTAATGGTGTGTCTGTGGATTCCTCTTATTTCCTCAGTGTGAGCTGTGAAGTAGCTATGGCACTATTCCCTTCTATTTACACCTTCACTCAGCCTGGCTCCTAAAAGCCTCCTCTAGGGAAGGTGTAAAGCATAAAATTCTGTATTCAGCCATGAGCAGGCTTCGCTGGTTCTTGCCCTTGGTTCTCACCCGACTGATTCATTCCCCAGAAGAGTATAGAGACCAGGAAGAGCTGCTGAGAGCAGCAGGCTGCAGTTCCTGGGTCTCTCCCCCTCAGAATGACTTCCTTGTAATACGTAGAACTGTGTAAAAGAGGATCTGGCAGGTAATGAGCACTCGATAAATGTTAGCTCTTACTGCAAGTTCACGCGTGGGCCACCCCTTGTCCTGCACAGCTTGCCTGTGTTCACAGCTGCAGGCCCTGCCTTCTCAATGGTCGGGGGCACTTGCAGCCTGCAAAGTCCCACACCCATTCCTCCACTTCCCACAGCTCAAATTTTTTACAAACATCGAAATTCAGCCTATTTATCTTACTTTTCTAGTACAGAGATTCTCAAAACTGGCCACGCTTGAGAAGTACCTGGGGAGCTGTTATTGTTTAGTACCAATGAAGGGGCCATACCCCAGGATATTCTCATGAGTTGGGGCCTGGGTACCAATATTTTTTATAAGTTTCTCAAATTGAGAACCACTGATCTAAAACTTGGCAGGTTCTGTTATTAACTGATTTATTATACCAAGAAATGCACTTTAAATTATGGAATAGAATTACCCTAGAGAATCCAAATAAAAAGAAGGAATTTATTTAATCACAAAAAAATCACAAAAAAACTTCCACCAAAAGTTTCCATCATTAGAGAGAGCTAAATTTCTGGGCAGTAGAGAAGATTCCAGTAATGGGTATAAATTTTATTTCAATGATCTCTAATGCTCTAAGGCAGCCTAAAGAACCCAAAGGAACAATTAGAAAGTTACGACAATTGACAATTGTATAAGGAGTTCAGAATTAAAAGTAATTCTCATCAAAAGTTATCAGAGGCTTCTAAATAAAACCCTGCATTTGTAACCATTTTAACTAAGTCATCATTATGTAAGCTAATTCCTTGCTTGGAGCAAAGCTCAGAAATGTAGAAAAGGCAACAAGAAAAACATTTTTAAAAAAAACAAGAGTTAATATAAGCAGCTACCTTAAGGTGACAAGTAGCACCTGTGGTCTTTCCCCCTCTCCATGGATCTCTCTATACAGTATAAATAAAAATGTTTCTGCCATATAAAAAGTGCAGAAAGTAGAACAGTTTCTATTTAGAAATGTTAGGAGTTCTCAAAACAATAAACACATATTCAAATAAAAAATTCAAAACACACTCTAAAAGTTCTAGGTCATTGTATCTTCCATCACTTTTAAGACAGAGAGAGAAGAGGGAGAGAATTTACTGTACTTCACATTGCTCCTTTCATACAGTGATCAGTGATGAAAAGGAGCCACGCTTCCTATTTGCGACTTTTGTAAAAGGAAAAATTGCCCCAACAGGTCAGAACCAAGTTGACTGCTGACATTGATATGGGACAAAGTTTACACTTTTTTTCTATAATATTAGTCTCAAAAGATTTTAAATATTCATCTATTTACCACAGGACTTCAGTGTGGAATTACCATCCATAAGTTTATATCTTTCTCAAACTTATTTACATTTTCAATCCTTGGCATTTTTATATTAATCCCAAACTTGCAGTAGGTTAACATTACAATGTTTTCTCTTTCTCTCATGCAAAGAAATGAAAATGAAAAAAATGAAACTCCCCTGCACCACTGTCTTCCATGCGGTGACTCAGCAATCAAGGAAGTTCAAACTTGTGGCTTCACAATCTCAACATGAGGTCAACTTGGTTGTTACAGCAGAAGGGACAGCTGGCCGGTTGTTCACTGGTTCTTCTGTTTTGGCTAGGAGATGACACACATCACTTCTGCCCATAGTCCATTGGCCAGAATCAGTCACATGACTCTACCTAACTGCAAGAGAGCTCGGAAACGTAGGGAAGCAGATGAAATATTTGATGAGCAGCAGTCGGTGTCATTTTCTGTTTAACAGTATTGCCCTCTGTTTTAAACAGCATTTCCTTTTATTTATCCTACGTTGAGATCTACTAAGTTTACAGTGTGTACCTCATTTCCTAGGATCTAGTGAATACTTATTCACCCTTTCTTCATGACTTTAAAGATTGTGACCGTATGCCCCTGGAATTGCAAATATTTTAGTATATACCCATGGTAGATCATTGAAAACTTGTTGATTAGAGTTTAAAATGTCCTCCATAAATATTTACTGACTTCACATATGTTTATGTTTCTTGATATACAATGATATACATTCTAGGTTCAGCATAACTATGGTATTAAACAGGGTAAAATAATATGTTTTGTTTCTTTTCAATATCTTTTTTGAGGAAGCTGAAATATTTATTGAATGTTCTATCTGAAACAAAACACTGGAGCCTCAAGTCTCAATCTACAATACTATGACCTCATTAGCTTGAATCTCATTATCTTATATGCAGAGTTGTATAAATTTTCCCTAAAGCATTGTTACATACCCCCACTGGAATTCATATTCTACTTTTCTACTTGCCCAGCTAGTCTTTTTTGTTTGACCTTCCAGAGAGCAGCCCTGGACTGCACAAAAGTAGGTGGGGGATCATGTACTTTCATTGGAGTAGCCGTTGGTGACAAAGGATTGACTATTTCTCCACTGGAGCTAATAATGGGCCGTACTATAAATGGAACAACCTTTGGTGGTCAGTTTTTTTTTCTTTTAATTTCCTCCATAATACAGTCATGTGTCACTTAATGACAGGGGTACATTCTTGGAAGTGTGTCGTTAGGCGATTTCATTATTGTGCAAACATCATAGAGTGTACTTTCACAAACCTAGATTGTACAGCCTACTACACACCCAGGCTACATGATACTAATCTTATGGGACCACCACTTATGCAGTCCATTGTTGACTGAAACATGGTTATGTGGGGCATGACTATAGTACTCAAATTCTTATAATGAAGATTATTGAAAGGAAAGGAATATAATTTGTTGTTTAAATATTGAGTGTCTAGAACACCTCTAAAGACTACATAAAAGCTATTCTATTAAGTACCTGAAAGTAAACAGAGTTTGTAGAGAAGGATAACTACAATTTGCAAATTGAAATTCAATTTGCATTAAAATTAACTAACACAGAGGAACAAAGTTAAACTTTGACCAAATCGAGATAATTCCTTATTTAGAAATAGAAAATAATCTTGAATTTCTTTTATGAGGAAAAATTTTTAAATAGACTAAAAGTACAGAAAATTAAAGATGGGAGGGGTAATCTATTTGAAGCAACCCAAATCTGACCTAATAATTTCATTCATTCAACAAACACTGATTAAACTACCTGTTCATGCACCTTGTCTTTATTAGGCATTTTGATTAAATTGCAGGTTGGAAAGGTGTCGATTCTGTCCCAAAGCTGGTTACTGACTACAAGAATAAGAAATTTGATCTGGATGTATTGGTGACCCACACCCTGCCTTTTGACAAAATCAATGAGGCATTTGACCTTATGCACCAAGGAAAAAGGTAAATTACCAAACAGATGGGTGAGTGGTTTGAAAAACCTTTATGATGATTCTATTCTTATTTGCTGTTAAGAAATAACTAGTTTGTCTTTTATGATGCTTTCCACATTATTAGAGGTACTAGACATGCTTAAAAGATTAAATAATGGCCATTTGGAAAAAAAGAAAAGCTTCTACTCTATTTCCATAATGTACACTGCCATTCACTGTTCCAACATAGAGTGGTGGTATAAACTGACACATTTTCTCTTTAACAAACAATTGTTAACTCAGTTGGGGCTGCTCCCTAGAAAGAGAGGTTTCTATAGTATAATGTCAGGTCCCTCTCGTACAATATAGCCCTGGGTCTGGAATCATTATGCTCTGCGATTGACCTAGAGTGTCCACTCCAGGCTGTTCATTATCAGAACCAGGTGAAAACCATGGAGAAGGGAGCAGGAGTGGCAGGTGTCAGATCTAAAAGTATGCCCCAACTCTCTTCTCTTGCTTTGTCGTGTGTCTGCTATAAGATACATTCTATCCACAATTTAGCTATATTGTGCTGCCTTGGCATAGACCCTGAGAACTGACTTACAGAAACGTCCCAATTAAGGGATTTCTAGTGGTTGAGGAGTGGGTAAGACTAGGATCAATGATTTTGGTTAAGATGATCAAGCACAGCCTTGGTCAATAGAAGCAAAGGGCAAAAACATCAGCAACAATGTTGCACAGAAAAGATGCAGGACAAAAAAGCAACAACAACAAAAAAGAAGACCACAAAAGAGAGGGGGAATAACCTAAAGTTAAATGACAGGAGTTTGAAGCAGAGAATAAATGTTGCAAAAGAAGAAAATAGGTCCACTGTGTGAGGACCCAGGCTACTTCATGGGGAGGAAATCTAAGAAAACATCCCTACTGAAATGAACTCCGTAATTTGCAAACATGTTAGCTACAACATATCAAAAAGAAGTTCAATAAAGAAATAAACTATTTTTTAAGCTACACTATCTCCTAAGTAGTATATAACCCCCACAATATCTTGCACGATCTCAATGTCCCCATAAGCAGTAGTCCTCAAGTTAGGAGTTGGGTTGGGGTTTGGGGCCTCAGATTGGCGCTCGTAGCCTCTCCACCACTACCCCCTTTCCCCTAGAGTTCTCAGTCATGGAATATACTCACAAGGAGTGCAAAGTGGCAGCCAAACGGAAAATGTTGCATTACTTTATTAATAGCTGGGCAAGTCTCCCATGCTCTTTAAGTAGGCCTGGTAATCAGTGGTAGAATGGAGGCCGAGGAGTAGACACCGGAATGAGGCCTCCTACTCCCTTTCTGGCCCGCTGAGAAAACCACCTGACTGCCCACACAGATGGAAAGGTGGACAACAGAGAAGGCAGAGGATGGGCCTCCCTGGGGGTGCTTACCATATGGGTACAGGAAGCACAGCTGAGAATAGGCCCTCCTACCAGACCAACTGCATAGAAGCAACGAAGTGGAGGCTGGGGATGGGACACAATGACCAGCTGGCTTATTAAGGTACAGTGACCCTGACTCACGGTGAGGAAAAGACACAGGGTCTCCCTGCACAGTCCCTGGTGAAGAATAGAATCGTGCATGGCAACCTCTTGATGCCAGGGATTCCACGACTCCAGCAGTAAGGCCTGAAATAAGGAATTCTCTGTCCTTGAGGCCTATCCCCTCTTTGCTTCTCCTTGTTGAAGGAGTTATCCAGGAGTAGGAATATTTGGGTTCTCAGAAAGTAGCATCCCAGGACACCAACCCTCTTTGGAAGCCCCGTTTGCCCTTGGCTACAGGAGAGCCAAGAGCAATGACTAGTCCACGGTGGAAACCTCGCTACAACCCTGGCATGCTTACTTCTCCACAGAACCGCTGGGCAACAAGGACCTCGCCCAGGGTCAAGTGAGGGTCCCCAATTTTCCCCCAGCTCACTAGAACTATATGGAAAGTATTATTAATGCCATGAATGAAAGAGGATGACAAGATAAAAGAAATTAGGCTTACCAAAGTGGGCATCTATAAAAAAAGATTAAAACAAATCCTGAAACAAAAAAACAAAAATTATTTGTGGGTTTTGGTTAAATTGATCATGAAAATTATACTGATTATTGTTTTATTATTATTAACAGCATTCGGACAGTCCTGATCTTTTGAAGACACCAGAAACAATTTGGAATACTGTCTAACTGACTCTGAACCTGTCTGGTTAATTTGATATGATGAAGCAAGGATCACCCAGAGTTTAAACAAATATCTACAGTTAACATCTCAAAATCAAATAGCTATAAAGATTACAGCATTTGTATCCATAAAATACATTTAACATTAATATGCCCTATGTTAAATAACTATGATAACTGATATGTTTATGAATAGAATCATATGATGTTTCAGAATTGTTTAAAACTAGTTCTGGAGAGATGGGTGTGGGGAATGAAGGGTAATAAATAAAACTAGATTCACCATATGTGTATAATTTTTAAGGTTGGGTGAGAAATATATGGGATTTCATTATACTGTTCTCTCTACTTTTGTATGTGTTTAAAATTTTCCATAATAAAAAGATTTTTACTAGAAAAAATCACTATTATATATATGTACATAAGATACATATCTTTAAACTATATATATCGTTTATGTACATAATGATATTATGTAATTTCTAAATTTCAATAAGCTACAACCTACTCCTTTAAAAGGCTGCTAAATAATTTCCTTTTTAACATCTGTTAATTTCTTTTCTCTTAGCCCCACTTGACCACTGTGAACAATAATCATAAGAAGTGGAATATCAGAAGCTATATAAATGAATATATATATAAATAAAGATTTTTTTAAAATCTATATATTCTCAAATTTTGATCTTTATTAAATAATTGCCTTTTTCACCTTTGATAATTATCACAACATATAATGTTTATAGCTTTACAGAGTTTAATGATCTGTAATTTGCACTGAATAATCTACTTTCCATAGTCCACTAAAAGTGACAAAGAGCAATGTACTTATAAAAGTAATGTGGTAAGTAAAAATGTTTATAGTTACAAGATTTAACAGATAATAAGATTTATATGAAAAGAAAAATGAGAGTTTTCAAACTATTATACTCATCGATGCTACAATGGACATTTTAAGGATAAGACAGATAATTATTTGGATCAGAGTAACAAAGACTAGCTCTCAGCATAATTTCTGAAACCCACCAGTTTTTTAAAAAAATGTTTACCACATGTTGAACTCTGAGAGAAGATAAACTTCTCTGCCGCTTTGGCTGAGGGAGGCAGTGATATCTCAAAGTAGAAACTTATATTTCTTTTTACTTAAGATTCTCTTTCATTAGAAACGGAAGCCAGTTGATTGTCTGTAAATGCTCCCTTTGTCGGCACTGCAGGGAACAGGATGCACTCCACAGGCGGCTGGCCTTCCTCATGCCGTTCCCTGCATCAGTTTCTCCTCATCCCCTCCCCTCTTCTCCTCAGCTTCCTCGAACTTCCCCAGGTCAGCTTGCGACCCCCTCCTTTTCAGATCCTGGCAGCCACAAAGCTGTTCTTCTTCCTGAACAGCTTAATGTCTTTATTGAGATTTTAACACATGCTGCTGCCACTTAGTTTTCCAAGTATATGTTTGTAACTCCTAGAAGACAAAACAATCTTTGAATCTATCCCTCCATCTATTAGAGATGTCCCATAAATATGTTGCTGGATATCAAGGTTTATCCTAAGTATCCAAATAGTTTATATTAGTCCTTTTTTTTATATATATAATTTTTCCCCCCAAAGCCCCAGTAGCTAGTTGTATGTCATAGTTGCACATCCTTCTAGTTGATGTATGTGGGATGCGGCCTCAGCATGGCTGGACAAGCAGTGCGCCGGTGCGCGCCTGGGATCCGAACCCAGGCCGCCAGCAGCAGAGCGCGCACACTTAACCGCTAAGCCACGGGGCCGGCCCTATATTAGCCCTTTTGAATGAAATGTTTCCCAAACATTTTCTATGCTCTCTTGTTTCCTAGAGAATTGCAAATCTAATCCTAATAACTCAGATAGTTATTCTGGGCATTCATTTTGATGCTAAACTGTGAACCAGTAATTTCTCTCTCTCTCCCTCCCTCCCTCTCTCTCTCTCTATCACTGCTGCAGTCAGTGTCCCTGCCTCTAACAGTCTTCTAATTTTCCATGTCTGGTTCTGTGATTTGGGGAAAAAAAAAAAAACATCAACTCGTTATTCTTAACAAGGCTGTTAGAATTATTTATAAAATCAGTGAAAACCCAGAATGATGTGTATGGGTTGTTTTTTTTTTTTTTGGTTTGGTTTTTTTGTGTTTTGTTTTTTAGTGTATGGGGTTTAAAGCTTAACCTTGATCATTCCTTCAGCAGGAGAGGGCTTTTTTCTCATCCATGCATCCAGTTGAAACGCCTAATAAATGTAATTATAGTATAAATTTTCAAAATGTACACTTAATGCCTAAGTTACCCAGATATATCTCTCTTAAAATGAGAAATGAATGCAGAATCTTTATACAATACTCCAGAAACAAAATCATGTACCAATAACACATTTGGCAACATGTAGAAAACTTCCACTTAAAAACTATACTCTAAAGACATAAAAAAAAAAATCTGCAAACTACTGACAGTTGTCTGCTTTCACCAAAGGCTCTCACGTTCATTCATTTTTAAAATGTTACTTTTTGAAACACTCAAGGCAACACAAGTTAAAGTATTTCTAGGGCGTCAAGCCACTGAAACAAAACTGGAATGGAAATTGACCCCTCCAAAGGAAAAAAAAATTATTTGAAAGGTTTGGAGTCTCTAACATAAGATATATAGGTCTTTACTTTTTAATTTTTTAATAATTTTTTGGTCTGAAATTATTAAAAATCTTTAAAGAATGCCAAATAATAGCATGAACAATACTTGAATTTAGAAGGCAATACAATCTGAGAAGGAAAAAAATTGCAGTTTTAAGATACATTCACTGTCTCCTCAAAAGTCTTATTAGACTGTCATTGTTTTCTAAATGCTACTGCAGCGCCCTCTGGTGGGTTTTTTTTTAACATTTTCCATCTCTTAGATCCTATTTTCTTTTTTTTCCTCTCTCTTTTTTTCTCTTCTTTTTTTTCTTTTTTTTAATTGCAGTAACATTGGTGTATAACATTATATACATTTCGGTGTACATCACTGTATTTTTATTTCTGTGTAGATTACATCATGTTCACCACCCAAAGATAAATTAGAATCCATCACCACACACCTATGCCTAATCATCCTTTTCTCCCTGCTCCCTCCCTCCTTCCCCTCTGGTAACGACCAATCCAATCTCTGTCTGTATGTGATTGTTTGTTGTTGTTTTTATCTCCTATTTATGAGTGAGATCATATGGTACTTCACTTTCTCCCTCTGACTTATTTCATGTAGCGTAATACCCTCAATGTCCATCCATGTTGTCACAAATGGCTGGATTTCATCTTTTTTATGGCTGAGTAGTATTTCATTGTGTATATATACCACAGCTTCTTTAGCCATTCATCCCTGTTGGACACTTAGATTGTTCCCAAGTCTTGCCTATTGTGAATAATGCCGCAATGAACAGAGGGGTGCATGTATCTTTACGCATTCATGTTTTCATGTTCTTTGGATAAATACCCAGCAGTGGAATAGCTGGATCATATGGTAGTTCTATTCTTAATTTTGTGTGTGTGTGTGTGAGGAAGATCAGCCCTGAGCTAACATCTGCCAATCCTCCTCTTTTTTTGTTGAGGAAGACTGGCCCTGGGCTAACATCTGTGCCCATCTTCCTCCACTTTATATGGGATGCCGCCACATCATGGATTGACAAGCAGTGCGTCAGTGCACGCCCGGGATCTGAACCTCAGGCCTCTGCAGCAGAGCATGCGCACTTAACCACTATGGCACCGGGCCAGCCCCTCTATTCTTAATTTTTTTGAGGATTCTCCATATTGTTTCCCATAGTGGCTGTACCAGTTTGCATTCCCACCAGCAGTGTATGAGAGTTCCCTTCTCTCCATATCCTCTCCAACATTTGCTGTTTCCTGTCTTGTTTATTATAGCCATTCTGACAGGCATGATGTGATATCTCATTGTAGTTTTGATTTGCATTTCCCTAATAACTAGTGATGTTGAACATCTTTTCATGTGCCTGTTGGCCATCTGTATATCTTCTTTGGAGAAATGTCTGTTCAGAGCTTTTGCCCATTTTTTTAATTGGGTTGTTAGTTTCTTTGTTGTTGAGATGTATGAGTTCTTTATATATTTTGGAGATTAAGCCCTTATCAGATGTATGGTTTGCAAATATCTTCACCCAGTTGTTAGGTTGTCTTCTTGTTTTTTTGATGGTTTCCTTTGCTGTGCAGAAGCTTTTTAGTTTGGTGTAGTCCCATTTGTTTATTTTTTCTATTGTTTCCCTTGACAGGTCAGACGTGGTACTTGAAAATATGTTGCTAAGACGGATGTCGAAGAGCGTGCTGCCTATGTTTTCTTCTAGAAGTTTCATGGTTTCAGGTCTTACATTCAAGTCTTTAATCCATTTCGAGTCAATTTTTGTGTATGGAGTAAGATAATGGTCTACTTTTGTTCTTTTGCATGTGGCTGTCCAGTTTTCCCAACACCATTCATTGAAGAGAATTTCCTTTCTCCATTGTATGTTCTTGGCTCCCTTGTCAAAGATTAGCTGTCCATAGATGTGTGGGTTTATTTCTGTGCTTTTGATTCTGTTCCATTGATCTGTGTGTCTATTTTTGTGCCAGTACCATGCTGTTTTGGTTACTATAGCTTTGTAGTATATTTTGAAATCAGGAAGTGTGATACCTCCAGCTTTGCTCTTTTTTCTCAGGATTGCTTTGGCTATTTGGGGTCTTTTGTTGTTCCATAAATAAACAGTTCCATAAATAAAAATCCATAAATTTTAGGATTCTTTGTTCCATTTCTGTGAAAATTGTTGTTGGGACTTTGATAGGGATTGCATTGAATCTATAGATTGCTGTAGAAGTATGGACATTTTAACTATGTTAATTCCTCCAATCCAAGAGCATGAAATATCTTTCCATTTCTTTGTGTCTTCTTCAATTTCTTTCAACAATGTTTTATAGTTTTCAGTGTACAGATCTTTCACTTCTTTCATTAAGTTTATTCCTAGGTATTTTATTCTTTTTGTTGCAATTGTAAATGAGATTGTATTCTTAATTTCTGTTTCTGCTACTTCATTGTTAGTGTATAGAAATGCAACTGATTTTTGTATGTTGATTTTGTATCCTGCAACTTTACTGTATTCATTTATCGTTTCTAAAAGGTTTTGGTGGATTCTTTAGGGTTTACTATATATAAAATTATGCCATCTGCAAATAGTGACAGTTTCACTTCTTCCTTTCCAATTTGGATCCCTTTTATTTCTTTTTCTTGCCTGATTGCTCTGGCTAGGACTGCCAATACTATGTTAAATAGGAGTGGTGACAGTGGGCATCCTTGTCTGGTTCCTGTTCTTAGAGGGATAGCTTTTAGTTTTTCACAAATGAGAATGATATTAGCTGTGGGTTTGTCATATATGGCCTTTATTATGTTGAGATACTTTCCTTCTATACACACTTTATTCAGAGTTTTTATCATAAATGGATGCTGTATCTTGTCAAATGCTTTCTCTGCATCTATTGAGATGATCATGTGATTTTTTTATTCTTCATTCTGTTAATGTGATGTATCACACTGATTGATTTGCGGATGTTGGGCCATCCCTGCATCCTTGGGATAAATCCCATTTGATCACGGTGTATGAGCTTTTTAATGTACTGTTGTATTTGATTTGCTAGTATTTTGTTGAGGATTTTTGCAA